GATGCTGTATCTCGTATCCGGGAAACAATAAAATACGACGACACATGGAGTGCTTCTTTACGCCGCGGGCAAACAACGCAGCGTTTGATTTTGTCTGCAAAGGAATGCTTTTTGAACATCACATCAACTTGTGCGCTTTATGGGTTCCTCATAGATAACACTCTAGTAACTACCTTTGCGGCGTCTGCAAAATTTCTGGACATCATTTTGACGACGCCTATTTCTTCCGCCGACGCAGAGCGAACATTCAGCACGCTGAAGCGTATTAAAACGTATCTCAGAAACACAATGAAGCAAGATAGATTAAATTCCTTGGCTGTTTTATCCATTCACAGAGACGTTATTTCTGGGATGCATGACTTTAATCAGCGCGTTATTGAGCATTTTGCTTCCAAGAAACCGCGGCGTGTTGCATATATGTTCAAGCAGTAGAAGTCTAGCAGCATATATATCTATGAGTGAGCGACGCATGTCCTTATCTTTGCATTACCTTTCCTTTCTTCATAGTAACGTTTTAAACCTTATTTTAGGTTTTGTCTGCTTTCCCGAAGTTTCTGTTAATATGTCATTGTATTTATCTGGGTAAATATTGCCTTTCCTTTTGAAAGAGGTTTCAAAATAAAGTATGTCTATATTTATTAATCCCTTGACTTGAACCGGTTTTAAAGACACTTTCTTATCGTTAAAAATTGTCGCTTTTGCCGATTGGTTGTTACCGATGGAATGGTTTTTATACTCATAAAATGATGGGAGAACTTACAGCGCTCATCCTGTCCCCGTAGATGGGGGTGACTTGGTCCCGCAGAAGCTTGCCCCGGTTGTCAAAATGACCACGCGCCGCCATTGGGATTTACATGTATATCCCGGGGGAGAGAAAAGCCGATAAGACGGCCTAATCATATGGCGAACCACGGCCTCTCGTCCGGTTACCAGTCCAGGTCAGGTATGGGATTAGTTAGCCAGCTATTTGTTTTCGGAAGCATGGACTTGAGGGTAGAGGAAGCCGTAACCGACCAGCGGTTACGTGAACCAACTTACGGCGGCGAGGAGTCCAGCAATCCTCTCGCACATGATCATCCCCGCATGGGATTTGAACCTGCGATCCCACGAAGGGTAATCAGAGATGCGGTGGCGAGCGTATTCCCAACGCTTAGCACGATGTGCCACACCGCCGAGCCAATTCTCTCTTCTCAACAAAAGTGTAGGGTAGAGTGAGTGTTATTTCCTAATATGTAACCCTTGAATATTCTACTCGCAGATTTATTTTCTGTTTTTCAGGTCGTTTGTGATGACCAATTCAATGGCTAGTTTATTGAATATAAAGGCTGAAAGAGTGTCTACATCATCAAAATTGGCAGTCTGATGTCTGTGATAAATTTGAATTGACAACAATTGCGTTACATTAAGTAAACGAAGAAATGATCCTGTGAAATAACAATCCTAATTCCTTTGTCCCTGCAGAAGTCAATATCTAAGATTAAAAAAAACCATACTTATAAACCTTGGTAACCAACATATATATTCCTATTCCCCGTTGTCCTACCTTAATTAAATATAATTACTTATACTGTTACTTGTACCTTCAAATACTTATTACAATCTGGACTATAATTTTGCAATAATAGGCTCTAGTTTGGGGAATGAAGTGGTCTAGCCCAGTGGTTCCCAACCGCCGGTCCACGGACCGGCACCGGTCCGCGAAGCTTTTTTGCCGGTCCGCGAGAGATTTTGTCGTTTTGTTTTTCTGCCGTCTCAATCGATTTACTGATACCGAAAAAAATGGAGTTGCGTTGATTTATTACGCAATTTCTCATTTTCGTCATATTGCTGTTTAATAAGTGCGGCCCGGCGACTTCTTGGCGCCGTGTAATCACACTTTCCGCATTCCCGGTCCCGATTCATCACGAAAGCGCTTCGTCAAATCTCGCACGAATCCGAAGCCTGAAAATCAACATATTTATACGTGCTTTTTCCTTTCTGCATGCTTTTCTTGATTAATAAGCCGAAGTTATGTTGGTTTATTACGCAATTTTACTTCCGCCGCCATATTGCTGTTTGATAAGTGCGGTATTAATGGCCGGGCGATGACTTGGCGCCGAGTAATCACACTTTTCCGATTTTCGGTTACGATTCAACGCGAAATGTCAAATCACGCAAGATTCAGAAACCTGAAAATCAACATGTGTGTTTTTTCCGTTCTGCATGCTTTTCTTGATTAATATTACCCTCCAATTAAAAGGTTATGAATATTTATTTGTTTAATTCGGAAAATGTCAAGAACAGTATAATATTCCAGAGCTTCAGCTTGACACCCATCGAAATTTGAACTTGTTGCGACCTTGAAGGTGGTCACAAGACGTGCGATAAAAGCACCAGCCGCTGAGATCTTTTTCGAGTGATGCACAGCAGGATTTTGAGATTGGTGCAAGTTAACAACGACTTTATTGGACACGTTTAGTGGCCATAACGATCGTTTCAAAATTTTGTTGTTATTGTTATTTTCTTTCGTCATTATCATTAAAAAATCGCTTTTCTCTTCGAATACTGGACCAATTGCTTTGAAATTTTCAGTGGTTAAAGATAAAATTTTTCTCCAGAAGGCTATTACTTTTTTTTTGCTATGACGTCATCAAAATTATAGCCATTGGGTGGCTACGTGTTCATATATTTGAGCATAGCTCTCTTGTAATTGCAATACAAATTCATTTTGTTTGGGGCGTCGATCAACTGCAGAAGAATTGATATGATGAACCCGATTTTAAAGTCCAGATTTATAATAGAATCACTGTTACAATTCATTCTTGATCTCTCTTGATAACGAATACCCATCGCTAAGTTATCGAGCAATCAAACTGCTGTCCGAATTTTCAACCAGTTACTTCTAGCTTTAAATAAAACGAAGCAAATAAATCTACTGAGCCGCTACAGAGCTACGTGTTGCAAAACCTTTTTTCGGTCCTCGTTTGCAATCCTGTATTAGAAACGAAACAGTAGCGAAATTCTCATTTGAGTTAATTATGTTTGTACATGATTTGGCATGTACATGTTTTTTATGTGAGATGTGTGCCTTTTTTACACATAACGGGTGCCCAGCACTGCATTTTATTACGCAAATGTATGTTATTATTTTATGTTCCACCCATTTCAATTTTTGGCCGGCACATTATTTGATAGTTTTTACTTATGTGAAATGTTTTGAGTGTGCCTTTTTGTCTAAAATCATAGTGATTGGCCGACATTACGCAGATATATGTTATTATTTTCTGTCCTACTCATTTCAATTTTTACCGGTCTTTGAATACATTTTATTTATTTTTCCCGGTCCGCCAGGGTAGAAAGGTTGGGAACCACTGGTCTAGCCCACCTCTTCAAGCACCCAATTCTGGCAACTTTGGTTGGGCATTTTTGGCAATTGACTCCAACTATAATCAGCTTGGCAATATATTTTTCATAAAAGTTTATCTCTACTGTTCACTCCCATTTATAAAATCTATCAATTCGGCAGAGGCAAACGTTATAAATTTATTAATATGGTGTGGCAAGTAATTTTTATTTATTTATTTTTTTTAACTACCCGTATGTAATTTATAACTTCTGTATGGTTGTGTGTGTGGGTGCGTGTGTGAAATATTTCCATTATTTTAGGTGAGTGAACACGTAACACTTCTTCTTGGCAAAACCTTCCATCTTGTATACATTCTGTACGTTTTAAACCTTATCTAATGTTTTGTTTGCTCTCCTGATTTCATAATCAGTTTTTATTTATTTTTTTACCAATCATTTTATTGTTATGCTGATTATGGAGTCGAAATAAACTTATACTTATACAATTTGCCAATTTGAGTCAATTTGACATATTTCAGTATTTCATGATTTAACTGAAAATGCTGAAATGTGGTCTACTCTATAATATCATGTAGGTACAGAAATACCGGACCCTAATAATCTTGTAATCAGTTCTTGTAGCATGGATAATATCATATTACAGAGCAATGCCAATATGTTGGTTCCCATATTGCGAATGATTTCCAATCGTATCACAGACTGGAGTATAGTCTGATAGCGTTTTAAGAATAGGCTATTTCATATATTATTGTATTACTATTTGTTACTCCCCAGAATACTTCTTACCGTCCATGCAACTAAATATGGCAGGTTAACATGATTTAATCGTAATAGTAAAAATAGTAATTTCAACCGCACTGCATTTCTTGATCATCAAACCCAGGATTGCTTTATATCGGAGCAGGATTTTTCCGAAGAAACCGGATTCGAAATAACAGAAATATTTTCGGACGGATTCGGATTCTGTTTTTAGCAAATCCGAACACCACTATCCCACATTTCGCAGTGGACGTTTCCCCGACCCTTGACCTCATAAAAATTCTTTCCGCATTCGACAAATTTTTGACGACACTCATTTTAAGCCTTTTTCAGGAGTTAGAGCTTGCAAAGTCGTTAAGAAATTTCATAACAGTCATTGTGATTTATAACATACAACTATATATCTGACATTCAGTTTAAAAGTACTGACAGCTAGTTTACTTTGTTGAATTGAGTGAAACAAGAAGAAAAATACTATAAACAACTTAAAATTTTGTGTCGAAAAAGTGTGTCAGCTGCTGATGCTGATTTCAATTTTCACGTAGGGGCCTACAATTGACATCTCGACGATTGGCAAATATGACGAACGTGACGAGAAAATCGACGCTCACGTGAAACTCACATGCCGATATATCCTATCTTCCAGCAGTGAGTTGGTAATTTTTCTCCACGATATCAGCATCCTTAGAATTACCCCACGGAAATTTAATTAATGATCGAAACTTGAATGTACCTAAAAACTGAATTGTTATTCAAAAATATTTCATACATACATAGAAAATAAAATTATTTAATTTTCGTAAAAAAAATATATATTATTGTTAATTTGATGTTGTCGAAACTTTTGAAATTAGGCATAAAGTACACAGAGATAAAAAGGACGTTTTTTGAAAAAGATGAATGAAGAAAAATTAATATTTCATTTATGAATAATCAACAATTATCGATAAATTTAGGTCAACACAAATAGATAGGTTCGTTTAGCTCATGTGTAGTTTTTCCATTTCGGTTTCAAGTTCTTCTTTGGCAACATCTGGCGAGACTGTCGTTTCAAAAGTATCTTCGTTAGTTTCAATTCTCTCCAATGCTATATTTTCTTCATTCGATTTGTCTGGATTTTCATCAAATTTGGAATCAACACCGTCTTCAACTTCTGAAGTTTCATTAATAGCTGGCGTTCCACCAGGCGTTCGATCGCTGTACCTTCCCTGTGGTGTTTCCACATTACTTGTTATGCTGCTTACAACCGGAGTAGGTGTTGATCCTATTCCAGTTTCCGCAGATGACTGTCCAGATTTATTGGTTAAGGTTGTAAGTCCTAAAGCAGTTGATGCTCCCCCTGTTCTGGTAGGTGCAGAGTCTACCGTTCGTCTGTCATTGTTAGACATTGGTTCCGGTGAGGGTGGTGGTGGTGCAGGTGAACGTATTTCTCCATGCTGTAAATTTTGAAACTTATCTGCAAGCTGTGATGAAACAAAAATAGAACAAGTTGAATTTAGAGTTTTCAATACATTACTGTTTAGTTTATGCTTGCTTTCGACTCATAAATGAAATTTAGGATTAGAATGATATCATTGATTTCATCACTTGTCAGAATATGAGCGAAAAAAATATGTGAAATATTGACATATGTGTAATAATATGTCCTAGAATTGATGAAGAGTATGGCAACCACGACTGCAATAAGTCATAGCTAACATAAAAAAAATGTAACAGTTTGATTAGTATGTACACAGCGCCAATAAATATTTCTTTTCTTAAGAAGAATCGTGTGCTTTTAAAAGTCGGTGTGGCTAATGTATGGATCAGGGAGTGCTCTATTGCCTACACTCAATAGACAATGGACAATACGTTTATTTCGTCGTGCAAGAAATCGCAACAAAAATTCACAACAGATAAAAAATTCTGCATTACAGTAACGGATTTCATTGCAATTGACAGGAAGTCGCAAAGGAAATGGTCATCATAAGTCAGCGACACCTAGATTTAAGACGAGTCAAGAGTAAAAATTGCAATAAAAGAAAGCAATGGATACAAAGAGAAACTTAGTCATTCAAAAAAGCAGGGAATGATATAAATCTTTATATACGGTAGCATTTGAAAGCGAGAAAAACAAAATTTGAATCGGGAAAATTCATTTAGTACATTTAAGTTTTAAAATTAGTTCACCACAATACTGAGCTGTCTTTCTGTACAAAATTTTTATCTTCGTTCATTTCGTCATGCAAGAAATCATACACAAATTCAAGACACAGCTTATTAAACAATACAGCAACGGATTTAATTGCAGTGGACAGCAGGTGGCTTTCATCGCAAGAAACAGACGGGGTCATCATAGGTCTGCGACACCAACATTTGAAATGAGTCAAAAATTAAAAAACCAGTACCGGTATTGCTTTGAATACCGTTGAGTCTCAAAGGCCAACGCACCTTATGTATGAATAAATATCAAATCTACGCATGTTTTTTTGACAGTGCTCCTTATAATATGGTGCAAAATGTGTAAAATGCATTACTTCTGAGTGGTCACACCTCTTCCACTAAATTTATTGATTATCACAAAATGGCAAGCAAAAAATCACAAATACCGATGATTCATCATGTGCAGAATCTGCAGATTCATTTCTGGATACAGCTCTCATTTCTTCTTCTGTGAATGAAGGTAAAGGTGAAACTGCAAGCTCTGAAGACCCTGCAGTTCTGAGGTAATCTTCTTCACTGATCTGTTATATCAAAATTAAAGTCAGTTGTGTATTGTACATACGTAAGTGAGTAAGTTTATTTCGACGCAGTAATAAGTGTGTGAAGATATAATTTAAACATCAGTAATAAAATTTATCAGTTGCACACTTTTTAAGGCATGTACTACCAAATATGACTTTTGAAAAACCTATTTTCTACCTGTGGCCATCCTTCTTGTCCATTGCTAGACCCAAACGGTGATTGCCGGTTCCTATTCAAAGAGCTTGTACTTGTTTTTGCCATTCTCATAACTCTAAAATTGAAAATATCTTTCACAATTAGTATACCACATAAAAACCATTAACAAGCGGGCATTGTCAATCAGTCAATTTATTTTTCACCATACTGGAATTACACTTTGTATGAACATAAAAATAAATGGCATTCCTGGCTGAAAGGAGGTGCGAAAAATATTACTTGTGATTAAGCAGCAACACCTATGATTAAGTTCAATATTGATACAGGAGGGAAAGAAAAAAGTCGAACAATATATATTAGAAAAGCTTCGAGTCAGAGAAACGAATCTGTTACATACAAAAAGAGAAAAAAAAAGACTCTAAACACTGGCAAGTAAGCTATTGTTCATTCACTATGACTGAATGAAAGTACAAGCTGGCAAACGATTCAGAATACTGTAATAACTATTAATATTCAGTGTATCATATAGTCATTGAAATAGATATCTGCCTTTCATAATTAGGAAAAACAGCTAGACAGTTGAAGTATAGTTTCAAGCAGTGAGAACTTGCTCTGTGTGTCAAGGAATTATCAGAGTTGTTCATGGAGCTGTTAGCTCAATCTTCAACTATCCATATATCCAACTTAGACTGGCAGTACATATCATATTCATAATACTATCTTATATTGAAATATTTAGTCTGAGAAACAACCTTCCATCCATCTCATGAGATAAATATGTTTTCAGTTCGCTCGAACAAGAAGATCGATTTTCACCCACAGATTTGATAGTTGGAGGTCCTGTGGATGAGGCATTCACGAGCATTGTTGACCCACCAACTTGAGCATCATATAATGAATCTCTTTCCGTAGGTGTAGGAGGTGATGGTAATGAAACAGGGCCTACATGTAAATGAAAGAAAATCTAACAATTAGAGCTATTTTGAAAAAAGTTTCCCAAAAGTTTTGTTGGACAACTATTATTATTGATTCTATGTCATTTCAATTTAAATTAATCAAATCTAATTCATACAAAAGTAGTAACTCTATCATTTAAAATGAGAAACAAGTGGCAAACCTAGAAACATTTCCCTCGGTGTCCTTGGATAATGAAATGGTTTTATCGGTGAATCGGGCAATGAATCTCCGTCCAACACAGTTGCAACATATTTAACCGGAGTCTTTTTGGGACTCGAAACTGTAAAATCATGATAATTTTGATTGAAATCTCAACTACGTTTTCATTTGTAATATAGTTCACATTACATGACCGAAAACGAATGATGCTATTACAAAAGTAAATCATATCAGCACACACTTGAACATATTTCATTGAGATAGGTTAAGATGATCAGAATCTATACTGAAGAGAATAGACACAGGAATAATGATGACACAGATTAAAATCAGTGTGGTCAATGTAAAAATAGTAACTTTCAATGCACATGTATGAAACTGAATTAAACATCAAGTGAGATATTGACCTCTTACCTGGACTCTAAACGAATGCATACCTTCTCGTCCCAGAGCACCAATACTCCTTAAATTCTCTTCTGCCAAATCTCTCAGTTTTTCATCATAATCATTGTCATCCATATTTAATTCTTGTTTGTTTGAATCCCGTAGATATTGATTCCCAGGGTCAGGAATTGGGATATTTGTCACAGTATAATTGGTAATGCGGGTTCCTGTGGGTACTCCGCTAAACATAAATAACTGAACAGATAATAATGTGGATATGATAGGTGAAGTCTACATTTGTGAGGAAGTATTGGTAATTAGGGAGGAAAACTGAAAGATGGTGAACCACTTTCTCTTACCAATTATCGGTCACGTCAGGCATAGAGACAGCTAATCAAATTGTTGTTCCTTAGGACATTGTGTAGTGGAAAAAGTCATAACCGTCTGAGTGAGGTATCAAAATATTGCATAATTTTTCTGACTTACAGTCTGGGACTTTGTATGGCTGTTCCTTCATCCATTTTGAATACAGGCTCCACAGATACAGTTCTAGGACTGAGAATTCGAGCTTCTTCTGCTCCCAGTATCTGCAAATTGTAAAATAATTTTTTAATTCAGATAAGTAGAACAAGAAACTCGAAATATACCTAACATTTGAGACACCTCATACAAAATTATACATTCAGGATGCTGAAGTCGTTCGATATTAAGTATCAAAAATTGGTGGTGTTACCCAAAATACAAAACCAAAATACAATAGATGACTATGACAACTGTACCTTTAGGTTCTTGGCTTCAAATGCACTTTTGGTCACAGTTTCATTTTTTACTGTCTGGTTTGCTTTATCCACAGTGGATCTACTTGCATCTCTAATAGACGGTAATTTGTCTGGTTTTCCAGTAACCTGAAATAGACTAGAACTAGCAAAGAGAAAAAAAAAATTTTATTCTTTATAATGCGACCATTATTGGGACTTGGCATCCACAGTAATAGAACTAAGAAGTCAAAGAAGAAAGCATGAACGAAATAGTTGTTATTAAAGGCACGAGGTTGCTACATGGCACGAAATCGGGTTGTGGCAAAAATATACCCTATTGCATATGCTAAACCGTTGAAACATTAGTATTTTCTGGTAATTACGGTAAGTACTTAAAATTACATCCAGCACAATTATGCTGAAGACACAGAGCTATGATGATGGTTTACTAAGAACACAATTTGAAGAGTAATGCTGTACGCTTTTTTTAATTTTGCATTAAAATCATAATTTTATTATGCAAAATACAACACGTATCATAATTCAAGTAAAATCATTTTAATCATTCAAATCTTAATTAATGATAGAATATGGCATGCTTAGATATACAACTATATTATTAAGGAGGACCCATCACGCAGTAAGTTACGTCTCGAAGAACTTTCAATCAGTCTGCTTAGAGTTAGATAAAATGAATAAGATTTGAGTCAGGATTTGAACAAAGTCAAGGATGAAAGTCTAATTTCAATTGACTTTAGTAAAGTCAGTGAACTTTTATTATATAGTCTGATTAGAGTTTCAATGCCTGTTAATTGCATCTGTTAGCCCAATCTCAGCGTACTAATAAATGCTTACTTGAGCAAGAAGAAAATTTGTTTGGCGCTTTGTTATTATCCCATTTTCTTCAGCTTGATGCAAAACTCTTATTAATACATCTGTGAAAATTATGGTAATATAAATATCAATTTATGACACATTGACTGTTCACTTTATATTATTTGTGACTTTTAATTCCAGACATTGTGTAATGGACAACGTTCTCAGTCAACATGCTAAACTTATATGTATGTAATTACACATGAAGACTTAATCACACAGGTCGGAAACAACCCGAACTCCTGGTCAAAGCAGTGCTTTAAACGCATTGACTTCATTCATATATCACATTGATTCATATATCAAATCTAATTTGTGACAAAAACACTCCTTGCTTGAGTCCAGATATTTTAAAATCCTCCTCAGAGATTCTGCTAAAATTTAATGAGTAACTGTGCAAAATCAAACTCAATGTATTATATGAAATCATTGCTAGTATTTTAGCGCTTTATGACTATAGCCAACATTCGATTAAAATGACTCAAGACATGTCAAATAAGCCATGTATCATTGGCTTAAAAGCTACAGCTATTTTTAATGTAATAATACAAACCAACAGGGACTTTTCTTAGTTGAGATATTTCTTGAGGAGTGGCAGAGGTAGTTTCTCTAACATTAGCTGCATCTCGAACTGCTCTCATCTCTCGAGTTGTGGCGTAGGCTGGTTTTATTTTCTTTGGAATTGTACTTCGAAGTGCTTTGTGTTGTTTTTTGGATGTTTTATACTCAGGTACAGATTGCAGTGGTAAAGAAACTTCTTTTACAGGGGGTACTTCCCTGAATAAAGAAATAGGAATATATGTAAGATATAAGCATGGCAAGTTCTATTTACGAAGTCAGATGCAGTGGAGAAAGAATGAAATCATTAAATTAAAAAATAAATTTAATAATTTATTATTCTGAATAGATAAAGAAAAATACTTGTGATTATGATTTATCACATTAATAGGTATAGGAAATATTATATTGTGTTTCATGTTCAATATAAAACATGAATAAATTTTTAGACATTCTAAGATGATAGTATAATTTTGTACAGAGAAGTAAAGACAAAATTAAAAATCAAAAAAGGGCAAATTATCGACTAAAATTATTTTTAATTATTTCCAAGAAAAAAAATCGATATGTAGAATATAACCAAGTTCCATTATCATCGCATCATCTGTAGCTCTGGTCAAGATGATCTTAATTCTGTTGTAAGGGAAGACCTGTGATGTATCTTAATTATCTTAGTTTGATGTGAAATCTTAAAATACTAATGACTGATGTTGCAGCCCCCCCCCCTCCCAATTTCAAAAAATAAATAAAATAAATTACAACAATTCAACAATTTAAGCACTATAATATATATTGATAAAAATGCTTTGTGATGCTTTGCTTTCAATGCTTTTAAAAATTTTCACAAAAAAATATAAAACTTAATCTAAAATCATTAATGAACCTGTTTATCATGTACTGTTTTGTGTGAATGTATAAAAGTGGAATGCAAACAGCCAAGTAAATGCAAAAAATTAAATGCAATTTTATTAAATATCCCACATCTTCTCTGAACAAGAAGCTATTTACATGAAAGTTAAGTATTTGAATAGTTTGAGAAAAGAATTGTTCATATTTTATTTTAAATATTTTTAGGGGAAGATCAAAGTCGGAATACATTTAGTAAATATGAAGGCTCCATTTTCATAAAGAACACCCTCACATTGCCGATAAACATGGCATAAGAAATAATTTACAATGAAAAGATAGATATGATGGAAATATAGGATCATGATTTTACAATATTTAAGACATGGAAGATATACAACAAGCTATGGAGGTACAAGGAACCTAAATGAAATGAAAAATCTGTATAACTGAAATACAAATCATTTGAAAGATCCTGAGTTTAAAAGAGATTCTATGATACAACTAATTGCTGATAAAATCATATACCGGTAAATGATTCTTGCCTGGGTACCAGTCGATATTGTCAATAAGTCAATAAGTATGGTAGTTCATTTAAAAAGTTATGAACTGTGATTACATGACCATTATCATATGTGCTAACTAAGAGGTCAAAAGATATCAAAGTGTGTTTAATAAAGATTGAATTCGAACCTGCAAATCCAATAGAAGTTTTTCGGACCTCCTAAACTCAGGTTGTGTATTAGGTTTGGGTTCAGATTATGCGACATCTTGGTGCGCATTAGGGATGGGCAATGTAGAATAATTTACTATTCTAGAATATTCTAGAATAGTTAAATCGAATCCAGAATACCGAATCCTATTCTATTTTCATACTTATTCAAATAGAGGGAATTTTCCTGATTGCTGGATTTAGATGTCAAAAAATTATAAATGTATTACTATAAATGTATTATTTATTTGGAAATGTCCTTAACATTGGATTTGATTTGATACTAAACAGGCATTTCCCAGGACAATGAAATCTAAGAATATTACAATATTTTTGCTTTCAATTGTTCCAAATGTATGTAATCTCTAAATACTTATATGCTAAATTACGCTTCAAACACTTTAATAGTAAGCGGTTAAATACAAAAAATAGATATGAAACGGCATTAAATCATTATTAATGTTATAGAGTGTCGAGTGTACTAAAACACACCCGCTGAGAATTAATTAGATGCAGGACCAGCGTGTGGCCACTGCAACCTATGCACCGGTGTAAAATATTAAATTTAACCACTATCAATTAAAATCAACTTATTATTCTGTGCGATCAAGACGTGCAAAACAAGGTTCCCGTAAACGCGATTTCGTAGTTAGTTATTAGTTAACATCATCTAAAGACGAATTCAATTTCTTTTATTATTGTTACATATCATTATCTACCCAGACTTGGCTCTACTCAAACTCAATACGTAACTATTTTCGCCAGATGCGGCATCTTTTTTTTAAGTTTATCGGCGAATAAAATTACTACAGACACTCGATCAAACGTGCGTCTATCTTGAACGATAGAAACAGACTGAAAGATATGTAATCTTTTGGGAGTGAAATTTAAATGCGACAGATCGTCGTGTTATGTGATATAACTTTGTATTTCGGAAACTGGTGTAATAAAAGTAATAAAATTATTCCAAAATAATATTTGATTTAAATCAATCGCAAGTAATGTCATAACATTTTACGCCTGGCTTTTGATTTACATGCATCATTTTCTGGGGAAAACTCGCCGGTCGCGGAAAATCATTTACAGTAATGTAAAATGAAGCAAGGCACGCCTGTAAACAATTGAAGATTGTTGCAATCAGATTATCGTAATATCGCCAGTAAGTCGGCACAAATAATTATTATTATTAAACCCTCGCTAGATAGCAAAGCAGGAAAACGCAAAAAATGGTGCAATAACGAGTCTTCGTCGTAAGGTGTACTTCACGAATTCTTGTCCAGAATACGCCGATTGAGATTACTGTGTTTGATGTTTACCGATTTTACGGGTTCTTTGCGATTAGGCAAGTTTAATTAAACGAGAAATTTCCACGCGAGAAAGAACGCTCGTCTTTAATTGATAAATTAGAAATCCGAAATACAAAAATTGACGCCCGGCGAAAACGCAAAAATGGTGCAATAACGAGTCTTCGCCCTGAGATGTACTTCGCCGACTTCCTGTCCAGAATACGCCGATTGAGATTACAGTGTTTGAAGTTTACCGATTTTACGGGCAGACGCAAGTCTAGTTAAACGAGAGAGATTTCCACGCGAGAAAAACGCTCGTCTTTAATTGATATTTAGAAACCCGAAATGCAAAAATCGACGCATGGCGCCGGAGAGGCGGAAACCGAATCCTGTTATCGGATCCTGTTGGATTCGAATACTTTGGGATTCGAATCCTCCGGATTCGGTATTCTATATTGCCCATCCCTAGTGCGCATACTTCACGAGCACCAGTTTTTCAATATTACAATATCGCAATATTCATTGCGTGAATGCGATCACATTTGGATGCATTAGCTATGATTACTCACATTATGTAAAAGACTAGAAACCTGACAAATTTTTGGCATCGTGAAAAATTACCCACTTTGCCTCACACAAAACAACATACAATCTTCAATTTTCAATTATGATGTTCATTGAATGTAAAACCTACAACTGAAACATTTAAAGGAATCAAACTCCTTTTTTTCAAATTAGAACCTTACCTTTTACCCACATATGATTGCTTTAATCTGTTAAGTCTGCAAAAAAAATAAAAAGGGCCTTAAAAGTATTCCATCTGATGATCTCCAGTAAACACAAAAATGCATAGACTTATCACCTTTTGGACTTTGGGGCAGGGCACCAGACAAGCATTCGTTTTGGCTGTCGGCCTGCTACATTTGGAATATTTATATCGAGATGAATCTTTTTGTAGCCTTTATTAGAAATGTTTTCACCAGTGTGCAGTGATGAAGGTGTTTCAGTATAAACTTGCTTGTATGACCCACGTTTAGTATGAGTATGAAATTCAGAATGATCACCAAATCCATGAGCGCTTTGCAGTGGAGTGTTCGCAGGAGCTGTGACATCTTCTACCGACTGGCTAATTTGAAGAAAAAAATATCCCAATCAATTACAGATTATTGTAATATATTTGGAAAAGTGTTTCAAGAATGTTTCATAAAATGGTAAAACACATAACATGGTAAAAATGCTCAAATCTCACATTGACATCCCAATTAGGGTGAGATGTTACTATATTCAGCAGTTTTAATAGTGTTTTCTACTCTATCAATCAGGCTAGAAAGATTTAAAACTAAATTCCAATGTATGTTGGTTTAGGGATATAAATACACCCAAGATAAACAACATGTACTTCAGTTCTTAGTGACGGCTAGGACGTTGTTATTCTAAATTTTTGAAGCATTAAGCACACAGCATGCAGTAACAACAAAAAATGATATTTGTCAATTATTACCACATTTAATTGTACAAAAATCGTCATGCAAACACAGTAATTTATATGAAAAAACAGTTTCAATTGCTCTAAATTTTTAACAACATCTTTTCAAATCTGTCCTCAAAAAATCTTTAAGAGCATTTCTAACTTGATACTTTAAAAAAAATTGAAGAAACATTATCAAATAATGTGTAGTAATTTTCATAATATCTCAAACGCCATTGATTTGAATATGATATTATACAAATAGGCCAATCAAACATGGAACTTTTTTCCAATAAAAATAGGAAATATTATAAAGCAATTTGGCTAGTTTGGCTATAGTTTGTGACCATGACTTTATTGATTAAATTTATGCTATCTGTTTTTCATTATATTAAACAGATGTATGGCTCAAGTCGTGAGCTTTACAGAAAAACAGGCAAGAATTATATTTGGCAACAATTTAATTGAGTTTGAGTACCCCATCTCTGTAATTCCAATGTCAACATTGCTACATTAGTGAAATGAAACCGCTAGATGAAAAGTCTGCTCTATCAAGGTATTTTTCCAGCATGCTTTTATCTTTGCGTATTTCATTTGTAGCATTAGGACTTAGGTACGGAAATAATCAACACGAATATTAAAATCGATTAGTACCAGTATCATAGTCATAACCATGCTGCCACAAAAAATCAAATTTATCTGCAGAAATCATCATAAAAACAATGCAAAACTCATCTATCAAAATCAGTATATAAGTAAAATGACTGGCAAAAAAATCTGAAAAATTAGATATTAGTCGGCAATATCCTAATAAGTTATGTTGAGTTCTATGCTACTGAATTCATTCGAATACCAGTATTTGATATGATCATTTGATTCAAAGCATGATATTATATCCCAACCTGTATTCTAAAAAGTATACCACAGACATTACTATAATAAGGCCAGTATTATTTCCTGTATTCATGATTTAAAAATTTAAAGTTAATATTGGTGATTGTGATACATAACAATTGATCATGGTATCAACGTGTATCCACTTCTTATTATCTTACTTGCTGACCGTGTCTATTTGTCACTCTTGAGTAGAGAATAATAAATTAAATGAGAATAATTGAACTTATCGTGATAAACAATGGTAATGCACTTGCCATCTCAGCAATGGTTACACTGCATAGGTTTCGCATTTTCATACAAGTGGAAGATGATAATGAGTGGGAAGACTTATGGACTCCCCCCCCCCTAAATTGGTTAACATAATTGCTAGTTAACTGCAGCTTTCTACAGACAAGTTCATGTATCTAAAACAGCACATCAACTGCAATAAATAAATGCCACTCCAGAATTATGTATACCGATATGGAGGTACGGGTATCTAACTTTGTTTGCCTACTTTACATCAAGTTGTGTAAAGGGACGGAAGCCTATAGGTAGGGGGTATATTCACTTGGCTAACACCAACAGTCCCCGAACTTGTAATAAAACTAAAATAAGGGAAATATGAATAAAATTATGGCCTAACTCTAACCTGGTACACATACTACGAGAGTACCAAATAAATACAAAAAAAAGTTGAAAATCGAATTTCTTATACTCATCCGGGAGAAGAAATTAATACCACACTGAAATCAGACTGACTTTTTACAACTACTAGTCTAGGACAGACCAGGAAATAACTAGTAATTCAATTGGGTCCAGATTTATTAACTTGTATGCAGGAGGAAGCTGTAATCAACTAGCAGTTTTGCTAACCAAGAGCTCAACCCTATGATGGTGAGTACACCTTATCATACAACATATAATCCAGACTGCTGAATTCACACGGCGTAATCAGCCATGCAATGGCAATCTCGTTCCCAATGATTAGTACTAGGCCCTAACCAAAATCTTTAACATATTGTTGCAAGGTAATACCCACTTACCTGGCTAATGACTTCAGTGTTAATCTGGGAACAATATGTATGCCTCCTGGTGGAAGATTGGAAGATTTCCGTGTTTTATACTTTCGACCTTGTGAGCTATGACTTGAAGTGATCTTTGCAGTTTCATAAACATCTCGTTTATCATATCCATAGTCATCCAACATGTTCAAAATAGTTACAGTTGGGAGACCCTCTGAACAAAATTGGATTATTTTGGTTATAGAAATAACTCTGCTGATGAAGAATATTATCTTTCTAAATACATTGTTATTTCACCCTTAATTAACTAATCATTGATTTACCCAACAAACTTTCTGTTTCATCATCTTCTTCTGAATTATCTAGAACACTTTGACTTTTATCAATATCTGAAAGTCTAGAAATGAATAAATATCAATAAAATTTATATTTGGTTCATTTCTGGTGAACTAAACCAAAATATGGTAATTAACAAACAATCTGTAATATTATGAAGTAAATCAAATCCAACTATTCTCAATAAGCTAAGTATATCAGTACACTGAATGAGTAAACATAGGATAGACTTTACATATTCATCCCGGGGAGCAGCCTAATCATATGGCGAACCACAACCTCTCTTCCGGTTACCAGTCCACGTCGGGTATGGGATTAGTTAGCCATTTATTTTTTTTCGAAAGCATGGATTTGATGTTGGAGGAAGCCGTCAACAACAAGAGATTACTTGAACCACCCTATAGCAACGAGGAGTCCAGCAATTCTCTCGCACATACCTATCCCAGCATAGGATTCGAACCTGCAAACTCACGCAGGGTAATCAGAGGTACGGTGGTGAGCGTATTCCTAACACTAAGCACGATGCGCCACACCGCCGAGCCATCGTCTTTGATATTTTTGTACATAATACTAATTGAACAAACATTAAAGCTGATGCAAGTGATTAATGAAATCATGTTTAAGCGACACCAGTGCATAAGCCATGGAGTCAAACATTTGCATATTCCTAGGTCCCACTGAAATTCGAGAAAATTCAGCAATAACTGCTCGAATCTAAGAGCGTCAAAGAGACCAAAATAATATTTTACCTTGTTTTTGACTTGGATGCCGTCACATTATCACCATGTACTGCAATCGGTAATAACCCACGAGCTGCTTGTCTGTTTGTTGACCAGCACAATGGATGTTGACACACTTGCAATCCACAAGTTGCTTCTTGATGGTTGCTATGCATAATTTCTGGTTAAAAGAGAAATATGTAATTTATTAGATATATATTACACTATCAAAACAGCAAGCAATGTAACAAATAAAAGTTGAATATTCAACATTTCTAATTCATTTTCAAGGTTCGATTAAATCAACTTTTAGGCCATAGTAAAATGAGCATATTCAAATTGTCTTTTCTCAGCAAGAGAAGTTAGGGGGTCTTACTACTTACTGAATACAGCGCGAAACACCGCAAAGAGCGCAAAACAGCGCGAAACAGCGCAAAAGAGCGCGAAACAGCGCAAAATAGCGCAAAACAGCGCAAAAGAGAGGAAAACAGCGCGAAACAGAAGGAAACCAGCGCAAAACAGAGGGAAACAGCGCAAAACAGGAGACGCAGTCATTACCACCTCCTGCCACGAAAGAACCACGGCGCCTCTCGCCATGGTTTTATGGCGCTATTTCCGGCATATTTACAAGGTTATGTACCGGATTATAGGTCATCATGCGAAATTTTATCTACCTTTTTGGTGCTCCAGAAGTATGTGCAGCAATATGTCGCACAACCTGAATCCGCTACACACACACACACACTAGTTTCAGGTTGTGCGCCATCTTGGTGCACATACTTCTGGAGGTCCCTTTTTACCTAACCCTAACCCTAAAGCCAACCATATCCATATGGAAAATGTTCTAAATTATGGTACCCTAAATGTGTCACCAGCAGGGGCAGACCTGCCATTACAGCATTACTGGCTACATACGTTGGTTTGTGTTTTTAATTTGCTGCCGTGGTACTCCAACTCAAAACAAGGTGTCCCGAACTCATTGCAAAAATTTTTTCTGCTTCACACTGTTTCCCTCTGTTTTGCGCTCTTTCGCGCTGTTTTGCGCTGTTTCCACACTGTTTTGCGCTGTTTCCCTCTGTTTTGCGCTGTTTTGCGCTGTTTCGCGCTGTTTTGCGCTGTTTCGCGCTGTTTTGCGCTCTTTGCGGTGTTTCGCGCTGTATTCAGTAAGTAGTAAGACCGGAAGTTAGGTATTCGTCCCTTAATCAGAGAATATACACGTTATTTCTTATAGCTGATGTTAACTCGCGCTTTCCATTTTAAACAACAGACAAAAAGTGGATTGAAAGGGGCAAAAAGAACAATGACAATGTGTTTTGTTGAACTGAATTAAATTAAATAGTCTACATTGGCACCCAATTCTATTTTAAGTAAAAAACACATCTATTATAAATTATGATAGAAAATATTTTATATATTCAAAACACAAACTAGACTATATATGCATACGATCTATTCAGTATTACCTGCATAAGGTTGAATAAATAGATGTTAACAATAAGTCGCCTGATTTACAAAATTAGTTTTGTGTTATTCCTGTAACAGCAAATGTAAGAAAGTCATCTGTAAATCTCTCATTCGTAAATCTCAAAATATTAATACTGTAATAGGTCTTGAATTAGTAATCATTTATCAGTCAATTTGAATGTCCGACATGTGGATATCTGCCACAGTGCCGCAGTACATTAATCCATTACCAACAGGTCCCTAAAAATAAAGGCTGGGGAGCGAGTTTGAAATCAAAATGCTCCGATATGGCTACAGTAAGAGTAAGGTAAACCAGTAAGATTATATTCATTTTTTGTGGTTTAGCTTTTCTTTTACTGAGTAATATTAGACTAAATTATTTTCTCGGAGTCGAAATATACTATAGTTCTACATCGCGTGAGGTACCGGTATTTGTTTTCATCGTTTATCAATCATCTGTAACGGTTACCATAACTATTTTAAGGTGTCGCTATAGAGCAATTAATTAACATTCTCCAATTTAGGCACGTTGAAAGTAAAATTGAAATTTTGCGACAGCATTTAAATTCTGGGATCAAGTTTCGAGATTTTTAAAATTTAGTACACATGCAACATGGAAATTAGAAATGTACACTTATTTATTTCTTGAAATATTGACGCACAAACGGGAACACGTCAATTGCGTTTTCAGTGGGGTGGCTTTAGCTGAAAAAGCTCGTTCAGTTGTAAATTATAGCCTATAGCCGGTGTTCGGCGGAACTCTAGCGTTTTGCAAATTTTCATTAAAATCTATATTAATATATATATATGTATATTGATTACATTCAATCAAATACCTAATAAATTTATTACTATCGTTAAGCTTACTGCACTTTAACGGTCATTTCGTTTAGCCAGAATCCCTACTGTATTAGGTTTCCTTTAAATTTATTTATTGCTTATTTTATTATTCAAATGTTGTTGTTTTTTACATAAGATAAATAATCAATTGCACTTTGTTCCCCTAACCGCTGGAATGTTTCATTGGGGTTCCGCTCAATCGGAAACGTTAAAACCCACTGGGCGAGATAATTCTGAGTGATTCGTACAGCTCCCCTATGTTATCTCCCGCCCCTCGACGTGACACGTAGTATAGCGTTTCGCTTTTTGGGTTTCGATAACAATTGCGTTGATATGTCAGTCGATAGAGTTGGAATTAAATTCAGCATGCGGGTCGTTATGCTAAATTGTAGTTGTCTTTAATTTTGTGTTATTGGTTGAGTGATTGTTTTTGTTGTTGGGGAGAACTCTTTTTCTCCTCAACTACCGTGTTTCGCCGGAAAAAAGGCAGTGTCTTATTTCAATTTCTTCGAATCTTTCGAAAAAAACACTATGGCTTATTTTAGGGGGATGTCTTTTATTTTCATTTATCAAAAACAAAATGACAGAGTAGAGAATTAAGAGATTTTCAAATATACATTTTATGAAAACCGATATCTATTTACTTATAAATAACGCGATAACGGACCAATCTATTTCAAATTTTCAGTGCTTAAAAAAGAAGAGGAAATATATTACTTTTACTATTACTAAACTAATTCAATTCAATAGACCTACCTGTTTACAAACTTTAAAAGGTATAACGTACACAATAATTATCATAAAATTGATTTTTTCCGTATAATTGCGTCGTGAATTTTTCCCCTGATAATTTGGCGCCGCTCAAATAAAAAGATTGGGAACCACTGACCTATGTGAATGCTTTATTATTATTTTAGCATTTGTTTATTTTTTTGTTGTTGAACGTGCTCGTATTCTTGAATTTCAAAAATCAATTCAATAATCAATATTAAAAAAAAAAACACGAATCTAAGAGTAATCACTGTACGCCCCACTTTAATTTAACGCAAACTTCACAAATCTTCTGCCGCTCACACAAGCTGAAAGTTGAAGACGTGTTGTACACGTAGAATTTCGTTTCTTTTTAACTCATTAAACTGCCTGTTTTGAGCATGGGGTCTGTTTTAGATCCATTTCTTGGTGCTTCCGTAGTATTCGTACCAAGATGGCGCACAACCTGAACCTAGTATGTGTACCGGGTTAGGGTTAGCAGGTTGTGCAACATCTCGGTACGAATACTACGGAAGCGGCCATTTTTTTGTAGTATTGTTGGAATATCACTAAACACTGCACGAAATAACCCCTTGGTGATACCGAAGTTCACATTTGCTAAAATGGTTTTCATCTATTGAAAATTCCTAGCGTGATAATCCTATTCACACATTTAATATTATCATATTAAGTAGGGGTATTCAGGTATGAAGATTGACGAATCGCGCGGGAATCTTCTCTCTCTGAGATAATAAAAAAACAGACACCGGATACATTCCCAAACACACCCACATTTACGAAATACCAGGCGGGTTTCCAATGAGTCGTCAAAAAACTTGAGCAAACCCAATTTTCCGCTGCGAGTACAAGTTGAGGTAGGGAATTTTATGACAGTGTAGAAATATGTAAAGTGATCACTGGAGGCTAATCTTAGTTCACGTTGAGGCTTGGGCTGATCCAGACATGGATCGCTAAGATTATCACGCTAGATATTTTCAATAGATAGAACCCATTTTAGCAAATGTGGACTTAGGGGTATCACCAGAAGGGTATTTCGTGCAGTGTTTAGTGATATTCCAACAATACTACAAAAAATGGGCGCTTCCGTAGTATTCGTACCAAGATGGTGCACAACCCGCTAACCCTAACCCGGTACACATACTATGTTCAGGTTGTGCGCCATCTTGGTACGAATACTACGGGAGCGCCAAAAATGGATCTGAAACAGACCCCATGCTCAAAACAGGCAGTTTAATGAGCTGAAAAGGAACGAAATTCTACGTGTACAACACGTCTTCGACTTTCAGCTTGTGTGAGCGGCAGAAGATTTGTGAAGTTTGCGTTAAATTAAAGTGGGGCGTACAGTGATTACTCTTAGATTCGTGTTTTTTTTAATATTGATTATTGAATTGATTTTTAAAATTCAAGAATAGGAGCACGTTCAACAATAAAAAAATAAACAAATGCTCAAATAACAGACGGCACCAAACCAAAACAAGCCGCCGTCGTCTCCCTTGCAGTTCAGGCCAGTCGATTTATATAGTTTCAATTACCGGTAAGAGCTAAGCAGTTGAGCTTTGGATGTTTGAATTACGGCTGGGCATTTTCGAATATATACCCGAAAATTTCAAAATCGAATATTTTTTCGAAACGATTTTCGAATACTTGGAAGATATGTAAATGAATATGATTTTTTTACTGTAATGTTCCTTATATATCACTGAAATCGTAGAATCTGGGGTACTCCCGTAATATGTGTACCAGGCTAGGGTTAGGCTATAAATCTATTCCGATTTCCCCTATTTTAGTTCTAGTACGAGTTCGGGGACTGTGTGTGTCAGCCAAGTAAATATACCCCCTGACCATAGGCTTCAGTCCCTGAACACAACTTGACGTAAAATAGGCGAACAAAATTAGTTTCCTCTATATTGGTACACATACTTCTGGAGTGCCGAATCTATTACTCAGACAGTTCGCTCACACACAATAGGAAACATCAACAACTCATTGGGAAGAAAGTAGTCATATGTCAAAATTGCATTGTAAGAATATAGCTGCAATAAAAAAAATCGAAGAATCCATCTCGACCTTCGGTGGACAGAAAAAAATATTCAAGGCGGCGATTCGAAAGTTTTGTCTGAACCAATTCGAATAGTTTACTATTCGATTCGAAATGCCCAGAACTAGTTTGAATGTGATTGGCGCTTGAATCGTAACTGGCGAACCGGCGTCATCGAGAAGTTTAATAAACCCCTTGCATAAATAAGCACATTCCTCGTCGGTCCGGAAGTATTCGTACCAAGATGACGCACAACCTGAACAACCCTAACCTGGTACACATACTATGTTCAGGTTATGCGCCATCTTTGTACAAATATTTCGGGAGCACCCATTCCTCAGTGAATATGCTGCCTGCAAATGAGTATCCTTCTCCTATAACTTTTCATAAACTTGTTGTTTCTCTAATGTCTATGTAACTCACACTCATATAATCAACGTCAAATTAATTTCTCGCATTTAGGAAAATCAGTTGCTTATCTAATTTTCATGCACTTGCAATCGAAGCAAAGTTTGTTAGTTGACGTATGATTAATCCGTCTTGCCAGATTTAATTGCCCGACAGGACTACAAGAGCTACATTTTAGGCAAACTTTTAAAACTTTGTTTTTATAGAATAACGCATGCCTGTCGCGTAAATATCTGTTTGGAAGGAACCGAATTTAAATATTCATATATATTTGATATTTTGATGTGCTGAATATGTGAACACAGAGCATTTGTAACTAGACATAAACAAAACAATTTTAAAAAAATTATCATGAATCAGAGCTAATTAAGTGGACTTCCGTTATAAATCGTTGGAACCAGTCCGTGACTGGGTGTATTGTATTTTCTAATCTCCGAGTCAGATAGAGGTATGAACGTTTGTCATTCTCTATATTTACATTTCTGTAATCTTTGTCAACAAAAGTTCGGAACAGGAAAATATACGCGCCGCGATTTCATTCCAAAAAGAATTCAAACTGGAGGCGACTCTGATTTATTTCAATACTAAAGTAACGCTCATCGCGGCTAAGTTATGGAATTTTAAATTAATACATCCGGTTGTATTCGAGTGGCGCTCGCTTTGAGACAAACAATATTCTCGGGGTTCTCGCACCCATCTTAGGTTATTTTTAATTACTCCAGTGGCGTGGTCGACGTAGTGAGTGTTTGCGTCACGGTAGGCCTATTGTGTATAAAGGTGGAGATACATTTCACTCTTTCTTACAGTGGCATGTGGTTTCAACTCATCAACTCGCTTAATTTAGTTTGACATTAATTATAGCCACAAATGTTTTTATTGACAGTCTTTCGTTTTATCCAATGCCCACAGGGCATCGTACAGCTTTACAACTACGCTCATACTTCGATCCGAATGCTCTTATATCATAATATAACTGTGTACATTTTTGTCGTTGGTCGAGCATGGAACATTCAACGGAGTACCATGTCAAAAGAGGCCCATCTATTGACTGTGTTAAGCGTCGATATATTGCTACTACAGTACCGGTATTTCTCGGAGAAACGCCTCTAAAACGCCCCGTCGTTGTCTGGTTAATAAATTCACTTAGTGATAGTGACTCAGCATGAATTCCACCAGCCGAAATATGATAAAGAGAATAAGGAGATAACGAGCGAGTTATTCGAGAATATTTTGAGAACGTTCAATAAAATACCGAATCACCATGCATTCCTGCGTGTTTCATTACTGTTTTGAAGGCGGCGAGGACGTGTTATACCTACCTAGTACAGTACTACTGGTATAATACTATAGAACAGGTTGCACTAGCTCAGAGAAGTGGTTATTGCGGAACTTTAATTATCTTTTAGCCGATGTTTACACAAACACAACTATCAGACTTATGTAGACTACGGTATGTGTGCAGATAGCCTAGATCTGATTATGCCTCTATGCTGTTATGATTATTACATATGGTAATATAAAACAGCAGAATACAGGAATAGGGGCATTCAGATGTATTGATGCGCCTAAATATAGAAATAATTTTATTTTTGATCAAGTTTGTTCAGTTGTTGAATGCATTTCAATAGGCCAAGTCTGTAAGTACAGAAGTAAATTGCATTTACATCGCAGCTCAGCTCTTGCAACTTGTGTAAACTTCGATTTATCTGATGACTAAAAACTGAAGAAAGTAAAAACGGAAGAAAAATCTACTAGATCTAGACTACTCTCAATTAATGTTAAATTTTATGTGTTGAAAATATTTCTATTCAGACTAAATTATAAAACGAATTAATTTTGTTTATATTTTACCAGAATAATTTGGTTACAGAACTTCATTCGAATAAAAAAAATAATTTAACAATGAATATTATGGAAACTGATAACAAAGATATGGCTAGAATGGTTGTCGGCCATGCAAACAATTTACGAATCCATTCTGGAAACATAATCAATTGGTTTTCATTGAAGAAGGGTGTTGGTAAAAAGAGTTCAGAAGAGGTAAGTTCAGTGTTGTGTGGATATAGTCAAGGTCACAAACATCAACACAAATTGTCAAAAGTAATCGAACTTACATAAAGATGTAATTGCAAACCAGATTTGAAGATTGAAGTGAATACGTACGTATACATGATTGGTAGTATATATCTTGTCTAGCTGTCCTAAAATCAATTCTGCTTTTTATATTTCATCTCTAACCCTATTTGTAGGAATGCATTGAAACTGCAAGTCAGGACCGAATATTTATTCATTTTCTCAACTCCTTCAAGCTATCTGAAACCACTTGAACAAAAGTGTAGGAAACATGCATTTGGTATAAGTCCTTTATACTATAAATATATATTCCTCTTTTTACAGCTCATCGATTCTGTTGAAAGCACAATCAACGCATGGACAAATTCTATTGGCCTTGATATAATGAGTATTGAGGTTAGATATGTTTATTATATTTTCTAGATTTACATTGTTGGAGATTCACCAGTTGGCATCTGCGAATGATTGAATTCTCAGATACATTGCACATTTTTCAAATTGTGTTCAAAAATCAGTTATTACTAACAGTTGTTATTAACTGTAGTATGATGTAAAATATTTTTTGTTCTCACTCAGGAACCCCTCGGCATGGTTGATATAACAAACAGATCACTTGTGAAAAAATTTGAAAAAGATGATCATGATAAATTGAAATTTTCAGTAAAAATATTTTTGACTCAGTGGAAGCCTGAACTAATTCGACAAGCCATTGATCAAGGTGAAGTATCTTTCTCAATTGATAAGTTTTTATTTAAAAGTAAAATATTTTCTGGTAATCTTAATGTTTTTTATTTCTCGTTTCAGTATGTCAATCATTGGATGTGACATCAATTGATTCAGTAATCGTATCCTTTCCAATGACTCCATTAACTGATGTCACTAACAATAATAATAGTACGATGCCAGAATTCAATAAAGTGAAGGTATAATTATATCATACTACATTGTCTAGGCAACCTTTTAACTGTTGACTACACTTCACAGCCACATTCTATTTCCATTTTATTTCATATTTTTTGTGGTGAGCTGAAACTTGTCTAATCGTTTTATGTATCGAAATTCTCTAAGATAATTTTGCAAGTTTTGCTCTTGATTACAGATTTTGTTTGCATTCTTGACGTCCTTAATCATGCATCTATTGTACCATTCATGTATTGCATTTCTGTTGATTAGGGAGTCAAAAATATAATTGAACTTTCAAAACATGTCTATGTGATAAGGACGGTCATTTTTCTAATCTACCAAATTTCAATTCTAATTGGGAAAATATGTTAATTTACAGCATAATATGAACAATTCCCCAATACCAGGTATGCTGCCAATGAAGTTTGCTCAAATTATTTGAGTTAAACATTGACCATACTATAGTAAATATTTCTTTCATAATGTCAAAATATACTAATATTTGATTAAAGCTTAGTCATTTAAAGCAAACATGAAGGGTGGGTCCTAGTATCATAACCATAACACACTCTCATACCTATATTAATATGACCATAAAGACTATATTTGTTTTGGTACAGACTTCTCCCCAACTTTGTTTACCTTTACTGTTTACTTTTCTGAATTTTCTCAATTTGCATTCTTCCATTGATGAAAAGTTAACAATAGGTAAAGGTGTTGTATTCATCCTTATTCTATTCTTTTTGAATCTTACCGTAATATTTCGATCTTTTTTTTTAAATGAGTCTTTCAAGGTTTTCAAATTTCTTCAAAATTTGATTGATTATTAACACTAACAAATCATGCAAATAAAATGGTACTTCTGTAGGCTGTAATTTTATTTCGATTTTCCCTACTTTATTTCTATTACAAGTTCGGGGACTGTCTGTGTTAGCCAAGTGAAATTAACCCCTGCCTATAGGTTTCATCCCGTTTAGGCAACTTGATGTAAAGTAGCCGAACAATGAACAAAATTAGTTACCTCCCTATTGGTACACACAGTTCTGGGGTGCCCTTTTTGATATTCAAAATCTTATAACCATTTATTAAATCACCCTCATTTGGTTGATAATATTTCAATCAACTTTTCCCAACTTATTTTTTTCTACATTTCAGCCTATTTGGAAGGAACTTGAACACTTAGTTGATACTGGGAAAATCAGCCATATCGGTGTCACTGATTTTGACAAACAGGGATTGGAAGAACTTCACCAATGGTCAAGGGTGAGGAAAACTGCTTTACAAAAAATTATATGTCTTGGTTGAAAAATGTACTGTTAAAGTAATTTTAACAGTAATCATCATCAGTAAGCATCATAATAACTCAAAATGAAATATTCAGTATTAAAAAACTTTTTAAAACAAATTCGCAAAATCGTAATCAAATTATTAAATGCTGCTCAAAAATGATTTTACGCTATGATTCAAGTTTGTTTTTTTCTTATTTTTCAAGTGTTTATCCACAAATTCCGTAGACTAGCCAGCCTATTTGATTTTACTTGATGTATCCTGAAGTTTTCATTCCAGGTTTTATATCTCAATTTATTTGTACAACTATTTGTGCAACTACCTGTGAAAACATTGCATCTGGATTTAGAAATATTTTTGCTGTTGTGTGAGAGTTTGTCATGTACATCCTCAAATAAATACCGTTTTATCATCAGTAAAATCATGATTTCATATAAAAATATTTGACATGTCGCTAAAAGATTCATCTAGATTATTTAAAACGAGTGTGAAAAAAAGCTATAACAAAAGAATATTTGGATATACCGGTACCTGCTTCCAAATAAACTGATAAAAATATAATGCGGGCAACTTTGCATCATCCTCGAAATTGAGGAAGTCCTAATCAATTCAATCAATAGTTTTGTAAACAAAGTGGAAAGATGTTGAAAAGTCATCTTCAAGTTCTGTGCAATCTTCTACCTGTTGGTGACATTTTGTCTTACATATAAATAAGGTCAAAATTAGCAAGCTATAATGGTATAGCACTTTTACCTCATTTTTTCATTTTTGAATTATCTTAATTCAAATTTTTTTTAATGGTTTGATTTATTTCTTATATAATCATAAAAATGTTTCCTAGTCTATTCATTTTATGTTATGTAATTGACCCTCAAACTTTTTATCTTATATTAAAAAAAAATTATAATATTTTTGATATTCATGTCCCAAGAGTCTTGTTCAGGTTGAGTTAGGTTCAAAGGCACGATGCCACTAAATCAATCAATTTAATAAGCAGTTTTGTGGTAGCGCACAGATTGCTTTCAAGTGGGTATCAATTGATATATCATATTGCATCAAAAAGCATCTAATTTGTAAGCTGCTGTATAATAGGTAGCAAATATGTAATTCTTTAAATAATTTAACTTAATTATAGGTTTCCGTCCTATCAGTAGAATATTGTAATACCTGATAAATCAACTCTTTGTTGATATTAATTCAAAACAGGAAGTAAGACATAGATTATCAAAATATAAAAAATATCATATCCTCTAATGATTTCATACTATGAACTGTATTTCTTGTTTATAGCATATTTACGAATCATATATAATTTAATCTATGTTTGTTCAATTAAAATGCGAAGTTGCTGACAACTTGCTGTCATGATGTATGTTATGTGATTCTAAACTTGAATTAAGTGAATTACCGCTATGTAAATTCCAAAACAAAAATTTTTTTTTACCATCTGAATTCAACAAACATATTCTGAATTATAGCATTATAAATGATTCATCTGACTAAATCATAAACTATACCAAATTGGGAAACTTGTATTTTTGCACCTGTCAATCTGGCATTTTTGCATTATATAAATTTTAAAAAAGCATCGATAAAAATGACATTCCATTTTTCAAGTAGATTTTGTTAGAAATGAATTACTGTTATAACTATGTAATACCTATTATACCTGATATTGATTACATTTTGAGTTTCGAGACTAAATTGTACTATTGTTTGAACAGTTTTATGCAATTGCAATATTGCATCATTTATTCCCTCGAGCTATGCATCAGTATTAAAGAATCTTACTCTTCAACCATTATTGATACAAAAGTACATGAATGACAGGAAATTTTTTTTTTTTCTATTCCATAGTGTTGTTTTACATCACAGTCACAGCTGACTAATAAAGCTGTGCTCATTAAGGTTTCACATAGTAGCCTATTTGTTTAATTTTATTTCTGTAAATTTTGTGAAATTTTTGTATGATGAAATGTACAGTGTGTCCATAAAGTCCCTTCATATTTTCAATTTTGTTATGAAGTCAGTTCTCAATATATCTTAACCAGGTTTTTGTTTTTTAATCAGTAATAGTTTAGTATATTTACCTCATTTAATACATCTGTGAGGGCCAAAATAATACATGGGTACATCGATGAATTCCCTTTGCAATTTAAAATTTTTTTTAAAAATTTATGGACAGCCTCCATATCAATCACCTTTCTAAGATTTTTCAACCATTCGTGCAAAACAATTTTTCCTCATTCCGTATGTTTGAAAAGGAGAAAATTTTTTTTCTCAATTCAAATATAGAGAAAACCAAATTCCATTGTTAACAAGGTTGGATGAATGACAATAGGGACCCATAAATCACAAGTTGTTTTGGTAAAAACATCAATCACGCCTGGTTCTCACCTATTTGCAATTCTCAATGTAACCTATGCAAAGCAATGTTAAATGTACCAAAATTTATAATCTATGAACTATGATAAATAATATTTTTTTCCGTGATGACTTTGTTAACTTACAATCTAACCAGTAATCGATTTCCAGATCAAGCCATCAATTGATCAAATTGGAATGACTAATTGCTGTACCGTACCGGCAGATTTGATTGAATTTTCTAAAGAATTTGACATCGAACTTCTGTCTCATAATGATGCACCTGGTAAACATATTTCTCTGAACCACCTACTGATAGCATCCATTCAGTCAATGTATGATCGGACAAATTATTGACTGAATGATTATTCATATTACAATGGAGTAAAGTTACTTTTTTATTTTTTGTGATTTACTTTTAGACTTATTGCGCAACATTTCTATATGCAAAATTGAGAATAACTAGCGGCATCATCTTACGATTACAGTTGAGAACAGCTTATGTATTTTAGTTGGCTAGTGTTATATTTCATTTGAATTAGTTTGGTAATCAATACAATTCAATAGGATAAAAAGATTCTCATTCAAAATAAAACCTACATGGTAGTATTTAGTCCTCAATTCTCTTTTATTTTAAAAAATCTAATTGTTTTACTAGAAATTCTCACTGCACGCTCCTTCCAAAATTTGTTGCAAGACACTATACAAGACATGAATGCAAATGAATGGACACCATCATTTGTAGCAAGGTATGTTTTACAACATATTTTTCATAGTAACAGGAATAAATTTCGCAACATATTTTTCCTAGTAAAAGGAGTGTGTTTCGCAATACATTTCTGTGTAGTCAAGAAATAAAACCTGGTAGACTTGCTTGGTTTGATAAACTTGTATCAAAGCATTTGAAGAAAGTTTTATGACCTCAGCTCTATTTTAAATAGAGCTACTTGGAGATGAGCATCATCAAAACCCAATTAATATTCTCGTTTCTTGAATAGGTCAAAACTCTTACTTAGTACTGTACTGTTATGCTTTAGCCCTGGCTTGCTTCTATTTGTTGGACTTTTGATGGTTATATTCTCATATAATCGTACATTAATTAATAAATACTTTCTTGGTATATTACAGATATTCTGTCATATTACGATGTAGAGGAATTGTAGAGGCAAAAGGTTACGTGGTTGGTGCAGAAAGAAAGGTTTCTTCTAATGGTGTTGAAGATTATGGGTTTTTCTGAACTCATATTCATGTTGCAATTGTTTTATATATTTGGTTGAAATGTTTTGCACTGCTTTATTGTTCTAGTAGACAGTAGGTCAACATTGCCAGGAAGTAGTCCGCTAGGGATTTCTGATTTTGTTTTACGTATATTTTTATTTCCATTATTTTCTAATTCTTGAAAGCATTTGATACATTGTTGAAAATCCCACCGTTTAATTTTGTTCAATAATTTATTTTTTATGCCAGGCTTCCAGAGAGAATTGGTATGTTCGCTAATTCTTAAAAAATTTTACATTACATCCTACATTAATATAGTAAGATATTTTGAAAACTGGTATTCTTGTAGTCTGTATTTGTGAAAGTCTCCACCAGCGATCTATATTGGGCTATGAATAGGTAATCCGTCTCTGAATGGGAGTCTCTTGCACCAAGAAGATCATGGTTTGCATAAGTGCAAATTCTTCTCTTTGTATAATAGCATGTACTATTATGACATAAAAAATTTGCTGCGCTTGTAGTACTTTAGGTGTTCTAACAAACTTTAGTTGTAGTTATGGTGTATTTTTACTTCTATCTCTATTTGGAATGGATTGGAGATATAATATCATATGTTTCTCAAGGTTTTTAAGTTTCACAAGCCAGCTGACAGTTTTACTCAACTTATATGCATGGGCTATTTGATAAAAATTCAATTCTGAATGAATGCTCAAAATATTCCGCTGTACCAATATCCAAATTCTTTGATTGTCATTAGGTGCTCACAGGTTAAGCAATAAGGCAAACTGCTGATTTCCAAATGACATGAGATTTTCATTCATTTGTGCCATGAAACTTCTACTTTCGATATTCAGTGTAGGGTACTCCTGCAGTATATGTTGTACCAGTATAGGCTTTGGCCATAATTTTATTCCGGTTTTTCTTATATTAGTTTTATTACGAGTTCAGGGACTGTCTGTGATAGCCAAGTGAATATCCCCTGCCCATAAGTTTCAGTCTCTTTATACAACTTGATGTAAAGTAGGCGAACAAAATTAGTTACCTCCAAAACAACTCGTTATTTAGTGACGGCTTTATATAGTTTTGGGTGTTTTTGAATGATTGATTGATGGGAGCGAGTGTGATTTCTTTTTCCATTGTAAGTTATGTTGGGTATCCGAATATCTTCTTATAAACGTCATCAGGATTCTCTATGCACTTCATTTCATGGCGTTAAATGATATAATCTGGCATATATTTGGAGGAAAAAAATCTTCCTGTTTTCAGAATTCATTTACTAACCATATTTACATATAATAATGGGTACAGAAATGAATAAAAAACATTTCGTTCTTTTTTCGTTATGTCTTTAAAATTCATTCCATGTCCTGAGAGGTGGTCTTCCATTTTTGTGTCCAACATACAACAACTGGAGGCTTGATTGTTTTGTAGTGGTTTATTGTACTATACATGATTTATTCAGTAGAATAGTGTTACTGTATCAATGTACCTAGCTGTTGGTCATTGCTTCTACTCAATTGGAACTTGAAAGCAACGGGAATATTGTTTCATATTTTGATGTTGTATTTGGAGGGATTTTCTTGATCATAAAATAAATAATAACTTTTGTTGTTGTTACATTGGTAAGAGGTCCTTAGATATAATTTAATATGAATAGTACATCCTTTTTATACATTCTTGTTTTCACTTCGTTGATTTTTCTGTTAAATTTTTGTCTTGTAAAAATATATGCCCAGATGTTATTGGGCACTACTTGGTTTGGTATTGTTGAAATATGTTTTCTGGAAATGATCCTGGACTTTAACTAGTCTCAGCTTCCAGCTGAATTTTGATGCATATAATATTTAATACTCTTGTCATTTGTGAATGAATTGGGTGAATATTAGGTCTCCTCTTCAGCAGAAACTAACAAACAAATATCAATATTATATACCAGATAATATCATAAAGGAAAATAGCTATAAAAATGGTCTGATGTACTTGATGTGATGTGAAAGTTGGCTTTTATTGGCTGGTACTGTAGTATAAGGAGTTGGCATTCATGACCTGGTCTTGGGTTATGGCATTCATAAGCAGTTTTATGTGTGGGCCGTTCATACTATTCTTGTAGACACTCTTCTTTCAGGACGACTGCAGGATTTTTTTGTAAACCCATATTATTGTATATTTATATTTTTGATCGTAATAAATGGTATCATATTATAATTTTGCTCATAATTTTAATTTCACTCATATATGTGGACAAAATACCTAGCAGCGCATTGCCGGATTTGAGATTTTTGTAATTATGTATAATAACGAAAGAGGTCTGTGATTCCCAACCTTTTTTTCAAGCGACCCGAATTTTCTTAGGAATTCTCTAAAATCACGCGACCCAAGTATATGCTTTAATACTAGGCGGCATATAGTGTTTTTATGGTCGCAAGATACACTGACTAAAATAAAACAGCATTTTTACATAAAATTCATTTTTCCAAAAGTTAACTCAAATTGAGAAAGCTGTGCTCATATGCAATAAGCAAGTTTTTGAAATCAAGGTGTGGCTTTACTTAAGCAAAATAAATGCTGCCCAGTTTTTTTGTGCTGTGATACCTCCCACATATACAATTACTATTGACATTTCAATACTAATATAAAATAAAATCTGTAACTTTTAGTTTTTTTTTAAAAAACAAGTGACCCAAGAAAAATTTCAGGCGACCCAATTTTTTTTTTTTCATTTCAAGTGAGAGTCTGATCTTGCGTGGGAAGAGATTTTTAAAACAAATTGGAAGATAATATATAATATCAATAACATTTCAAAAACCCGGCTAATTATTTTATGTTTTGTTTAGCATTTTTTATCAATTGTTTCCATCCGTAAAAAGTGCATATATGTACTGACAATTAATTATACATTCAAATTCATTTTTGGTTATTATTTACTGTGAGCCTATCTTTTCTGGTAAAGCAACAATATCTTGCAGCTGTGTCATGTTTTCAAAACCTTGTTTAGTACTCTCTGTTTCTGCATTGTACTATCAAAATTCAGTTTTACTCAAAAATCTTTATTTGCTCAATTCCTCATAAACATGCCCAAAATGTTGTATGTTGCGGATTTTTATGTATTGTTTGGAAGTTAAATTATTTTCTCCACTAACATTATGGATATGTAAACCTTAAGTTTTGTGTTTTTTTAATGTTTATTTTGGTATAAAAAGGTAAGTCAAAATAGCACCATATTATCGAAGGAGTAATCCTTGGTGAATTTTTTTCTGAAATCAGTGTCACTAATCTCCTGAATGTGTCTACATTATATGCATATATTTCGTGACTATATGAAAGGTTAGCTTCAACATCATGGTTGAAAAACTGCCAATATCCACAGAGCAAAGTTAATAAGTAATTGAGTATTCAGTAGTGTCGTTGTGGAAACCATTATTATGTCACTGTCATTTTCATATTTCTCTGATTCCAAGCCATTGAGTGCCACCATAGAAAGTGTGAAGGGAATGGATGACTCTCCTCAACCATGTTTTGGTTTGTTTAATCACCTGTTGGTACATCCTCTAGCAGCTAGCTGATCTTTCAAATGCCTGGGCGTATATCTCTCTGTGTGGTTCAATATCTGCTTGAATATCGTACTTGTAAGATAAAAGTATGTACTTGATTCTATAAATTCAAAATATTATTGCAAGTTGTTTTTTGCTGTAATTCCCTCTTCGTCCTGATTATTTAGATTTTCGTTTTAAAAAAGGGTTTGGATTTGGTTTAACTGAAGTATGTGTTCAACAGTTTTTCTATGCACTTGTGTACAGATGGGGTATAAATTACTTAATATAAACTGTCATGAGTTTTAAATAATATATTATGGTAATTATATGTAGTTGTAATGTAAAATATATTAATCAATAAAATCCAAATGTTGAAAATTGGGGATGGATTTTATGACCGACGGCAGGACATATCACTTAAAGTAGGGAGAAATTTGGCAGGACGAGCTCAAAGTCGGCAACTTCGCGAAGAGTGTGATTTACATGATAAATTTTCCGAGCGCGACAAATAAAATCAATTAAAAAATCCTTCATATATAAACCGAGCTTTTACTCGCAAGCTGCCCTTGAACAATGTAGCTGCTGTCTCCGCGAATATTCATGCCTAAATCCTAGCTCAATTCTATCAAGTGTATGGCTTGAAATCGTGACCAATTTGAAAAGTATGCACTACTAATCGTACAAATTTTCACTCAACAGTGCAGCTACGTGAGTTTGCTCGTTGATGTCTGCAAACACCCGTAAGGCCGCTGCCATACGATTTTTTGCGCCAGTCTGTGATGAAGAAAGGCGCGAATGCCATCTACCGCCATGTGAGACTATAGGAGGAGTCGGCCATATTTTCCCATGTTTTAGCTCATTTCTCGTCCTCAGATTTTCTCTTGACAGCATTTATTCGTGATAAGTATTTATATAGTGTGACTAACTGCCAACTTGTATCAAACAATCTCCCACCGTGACCGTGCTTATACATATAGAATTGATAAACGACTCAGTTCTGTATTATATATCTTTAATAATTGCTAAAAACTATTGGTGCAAATGTTCTAGACACAAGAATCAACGTGCGCGAGTGACAACGGTTGCAAATTTCCGTGTTTTTAATGCCCATGGGTGCAAATGTCTAAGATGCTATCCTTTGGGTGCAATTCTACGGGTGAAAATATACGCGGACGCAAAGATGTTATCACCAAATCATTCATCTATCTCAGCAACAACACCTTGATACATAATTTATGTATACTCAACAAAAATAATATGCTCCGCTACTTTCATAAATCTTTTTAAGGCTATAATTTGGCGTTTTCGGAACAGTGCAACGTAAAATTACCAGGACGTGTTCGGAAACTACATCTTATCTAAATATGTTTAAGCAAGCATCTGAATGAATCAGCTTTTTTCCGCGAAGAGAAAATTGATTCGAAATAAGTTCCAAGAATAGTTTCCTCCGTGACGTTGTTGCCACAATCCTCTCAGTATGTACCTAAGACTTTGACTTTTCAACACATTCCAAAACCCAGTGGGTGGTAGAGAATATTTCAAGTTGAAAGTTTCTGGTTTGCATCGTTATAATAAAGTAATTGTGAATATTTCAAGTTGAAAGTTTCTGGTTTGCATCGTTATAATAAAGTAATTGTGATGAATATTACAGGGGTGGAAAAGTTTTGACGATTTTTCCCACCAGAGAAGATACGCCTCGTGAGGCATTAATGTGAGAAGGCTTCACCTTGCGGTATATTATTGAACACGTTAGTGGACATAACGATCGTTTTGGCATTTTTGTTGTTCTTGTTCTTTGACATAGTTATTAAAAAAAGTCGCCTTTCTCTTCGATTGCTGGAGCAAATGCTTTGTGCAATTTTCAGTTGTTAAAAATGGATTTTTTTTTCAGAAGGTAATACATTTTTTATTTCTAAATTTCGTAGGAAATCTGATATTTCGTCCAAGATTTTGCTGTATTATTCTATCCACGGGAACACTGACTGTCCGGTTTGATCTGTAAATTTTTGCTACGGAAATTTTTTGAGGGTACCAGTGGCTTCAAGGGTAAAAACTGTTTCGCTCTGGTTAACGTACCATATATTTGAGCATTTCTCTTTTGTTAAACGGATAATGCTTCACGGATTTCTTTGACCTGCTTGCATGCGTGTTTTTTATTTAGCACTTTGTTGATTTGTGGGTGTTCTTGCGGAGTTAGTTGAGTCTGGCGTGATTGATCAACATTCAACTATTCGCATCGAAGTCGGCAAAACTGCTCCAATCTTTCGTGTGGTTTTGACACTATGTCGAAATTAAGATCGGTAAATTCATAAAGTGTGCTTTGCTGCAATGATTATGTGCAGCATCGCATTACTTACAGTCTGATCTGATACCACATTTTACAAACAGGTCACCGGCATCGTTGGGGTCATACGCTTTCACCGACAACTAAGCTTTCTTGATGATTCTTCAGATATCAAAAATATCAGGACACTTCATCACTATTCTGAACATAATCATTATGATTTGTCTTGTTTTGGGCGGAATGCCATTTGCTGTAAGTTATCCACTGAAATGTTATGTGATCTGCGACATCTTCCGTTTTTCTTGTTTCATCTAATATTTCATGCCTGGAAAATTCGTGAATGTGACACATTTGAGGTATACCGTGTAAAGATAGCATCTCTTTACTTATAGTCTGGCAGAATCGGGGCCAAGCCTTGTTTTGAGACAAAATTTTATTGTTTAGGTATAATCTTGATGACAGAAATAATGATACTCAAGAGGATGTGGAGCTTATAATGTTGAGTATTTTTTTTCTATATACGTTTTCATTTGCATACGTAAGGAAAAATTCACATTAGAATTAATATGTCATATGCAAAGATCACTGCAACTATAAGCTCCAGTGGATTACCGATTGAAAATAGCAATAGCATCCCACCGATTGAAAAACAATCGACGTACGGTATATATTCCATTGGTAGGGCGGAATGGGTAACCGATTTCAGATTGTTAACGGTTACGATTTATTTTAACCGTTAACTGACATCTCAGGTACAAATCATCTGAGGCGACCACGTCTATAACTCTGTTTTATTCTGTATGCCCATATTTATTCTCACCACTTAAGTCACTAGTGAGCAGCTGAGAGGGAGAGCCCAAATGTTGTCAAAAGACAACTCAGGACTAGGCCGAAAATGGTTACAGTGGCTACACAATCAGCTCCTCCAGTGAGCGCTAGTTGTGTCTCAAATGCCAATGTTAATCGTAGTGTTCTCAATAGCACAGCTAATGCTACGATGATGACGAAAAATGCCAAAAAGCCAATGTATTTTGATGGATCCACTGTCATGACGTGGCCCAGTTATTTATGCCATTTTGAATTGGTTACCAGGTATAATCAGTAAGATGACGACACTGCGGGATTAGAATTGGCTACTTGCATGACAGGTCAAGCTCTAAATGTGTTGAAAGATTTACCAGATATGAAACGTCCTAGCTATCGTGATATTGTGGCTCATTTTAATCATTATTTCAAACCTGCCGGAAATGCGAGCTCATATCGTACTACATGTCATTGTCCTAGGATTAGATCAAATGAAGTGCCACGGGATTATGGTAACGAATTAAATGAGCTTGTTTTCTTGCTTACCCAAATCTTGATATTCCTGGTCAAGATGATATTTTGAAATCGCAGTTTCTCGCCGGCTTAACCAATGAAAGCGTGATAAAACATGTTACCATGCAACAGCCTGATACTTTTGAAAGTGTACTGTCTCTTGCAACGCTGTATTACTAAGATACTAACCACTCTGAGAGAAAAAACATGCCTAAACCTCGCATTGTCGCAGTGAAACGGAGTAACACTGGTAATTCAGCTAATCAGCAAACCGACCTTTTTCAGTTTCTCGAGAGCAGTTTTGAGCGACTTGTAGCAAAACTGGATGAGATCATAGGATATGTTAATAAGCCGCGCGCTAACAATCGCAATTTTGATGGTGTACCACGCAACCCGTGTTCTCGATGTGGGATTGCAAGGCTTGTTTTAATTGCAAGCAGACTGGTCGTCTTAAACGGGATTGTCCACATCTTCAGAATCACGCTGGTCCTGCAACAGCTGCTTCTTCTTCGACCGAAAATTTAAACGACGCTCAGCGGACTTGAGGTCCTCAGTGTCCGCTGAATTATTACTTGATGGCGGACCAACGAACCAGAATATAGACCTGAATATTTGTTCCTTGCAATATGACAATAATTGGCATGTGAAGGTACTTGTAAACAATCAACCGTTCAATTTTCTTGTAGATAGTGGTGCTATGACTACTCTGATCGACATTTCCATCTTTGAGGCTATGGGTTGGAAGGAAGCACAATTAGCACCGCTCGAAGAATCTCTTGTTACAGTGGGAGGGCATGATTTATCACCACTGGGTACATTGGAAGTTGATTTGTCTATTGATTCTTTTGCATCGCGACGCACTGTTGTTGTTGCCAACCTAGGCATGTCTAATGGAATTTTGGGCATGGATTATCTCCAAGAACATGATTATATAAAAATTATAAATTCTTATTCATTCTTTACTTATCAACTGGACACATGATGATAGGAGAATCATGAAATCGAACTGTTTACTGAAAAGTCTGTACCATGTTGTCGTGTAACTGTTCGAGAAGATATTACGATACCGCCATATTCTAAGGTTGTTATCCCTGCACAACTTAGTCACCCATGGCCGAAAAGCATTGTGTCTGATGTTGCAGCTCTTGTTGAACCGCTGAATTCTTCTTTCTTTGCTGATGGCATTCAACTGATTTCTTCTGTTGTGGATCCTGGAAAGTCCACTGTTCCGGTTCTAGCGATCAACCAGAAAGGTAGACAACTTAAGATCAGGGCTGGATCTTTGCTTGGTATTGCACATCTTCAACTTGTAGCACAGATTCAAGTTGACGAATCCGAAAAGGTTATAGCTTCTGAATTACCAGAGCATCTACATGACATGGTCAATTCCGTTAAGGATCTAACCCCGAGTCAACGTGAACAGTCGGTCAATTTGATTTCTGAATTCCATGATGTATTTGTAGGGCCAGATGGTGAACTTGGCCGTACTTCAGCAGCGAAGCACAGGATCATCACAACAACACCACAGCCGATTCGGCAGGCTCCTCTTCGAATAGGGTGGGCTCGTAGGAAGATAGCCGAAGAAGCTGTTGATAAGATGCTGGCTCAGGGTGTCATAGAACCCAGTGATTCCCAATATTCCTCTTTCATTGTCCTAGTTCCTAAAAAGAATGGTTCTACCAGATTTTGCGTGGATTTCAGATTGCTCAATGACGTCACCTACAAAGATGCATATCCCTTGCCGCGTATTGAGGATATCATTGAGTTCTTAAACGGTGCACAATGGTTCTCAACTCTTGACCTCGCAATCGGGTATTGGCAAGTGGAGGTTGACCCTGCAGACCGCGAAAAGACAGCCTTCAGTATCCCAGGCCGTGGTCATTTTCACTTTGTAGTGATGCCATTTGGTTTAGCGAATGCTCCCGCAACATTCGAACGGATGATGGACAATATCCTTGGCGATCTCCTGTGGAATGGATGTTTCAATTTTCTGGATGATGTTATGGCTCATGGTAGTGATTTCTCAATCTCAAATCTTCGGGAAATTTTTCTAAGACTTCGCCGTGCCGATTTACGTTTGAAGTCCTCGAAATGTCAACTTTTCCGTCGAAGCACCTCTTATCTTGGTTATCTTATTCCATTTGAAGGTGTATGTTGCGACCCTGGAAATGTTGCGGCTATCAAAGAATGGAAAACGCCCAATTTTGTTAGCGATATTCGTAGTCTTCTTGGTACAGCAAACTACTACCGAAAGTTTGTTCAAGATTATTCAACGATTGCAGGACCTCTTATTCGATTGACCAATGACCAGGAAGAATATTGCCTTTGTATGGAGTACTGAATGTCAAAAGGCTTTTGAAACTCTGAAACACTGTCTGACATCAGCCCCAATTCTTAGCTTTCCGAGAACAATCGGCGAGTTTGTATTGGTTACTGATGCCAGTGGTTTTGGAATTGGTGCAGTGTTATCTCAAGTGCAGGACAACAATGAACGTGTACTTTCCTATGCCAGTAAGACTATGTCCAAGTCTCAACGTAGATAGTGTGCTACACACCGGGAACTATTAGCCGTGGTGTGGGCTGTTCGTCACTTCAGTCATTTTCTTCTCGGGAGACCGTTCAGAATTCGCACAGATCATGCTGCTCTGAAATGGTTAATTAATTTTCGTGAACCACAAAGAATGTTAGCAAGATGGATATTGACACTTTAAGATCGAACACAGACCTGTAGTGAAACATGGCAATGCTGATGGATTGTCACGCCAAGTTCGCAAATGCAAACGAGAATATTGTTCTGATTGTGGTACCATTGGAGATGTAACTGTGAATGAGGTTATTGTGGGTGCAATCTCAAAACAGCCCGATCAATCATCATCAGACAGCTCCGATTGTAATTGGCTAGCAGGGGTTCCCAACCTCTTTATCTTAATTTCCCACTTACGATTTAGGCTGAGTTATTATTTCCCACTACCTATCGACTCCCTTAACAAGAATATTTTTTTGTTAAATTGGTAAGACCTTCTGTAATAAAGGCTTTGCAATTGGTGCAGAAGTTGAAACCCTGCGAGAACGAACATTCATTGCGCCATCTAGCATCTCAAGATAGTGACGATCCGGGTAAAGAAACTAGTGTTCTTCATCAAATAGAGCAATTCAACGCATAAGATTACAAAGAACACATCAGAGTTTACATTGTACCATCAATTTGAATATTTTTTCTTCGATATGATGAACTGGATGTTTGAACCTATTGTTGAAAAAGCGCATTGTTATTAGACCAATGACATTAAATGTCATTGATTGGACAAGGAGACCTGTTCGTCTTTGACTCCGCAGAATATCAGCACACTCCGCCAGACATAATTTCATCAATGTCTCACCAATGTGTGGGACTTTTTAGTCCTTGATTTTCGCAGGACAACTGCATAAGACGTCACCTTTAAACTTATTTGAAATTGCTGTCGAATCTCATCTTGCTTTTATTTTGCGATTTTTCCAGCAAACTGATAAGCAAATGGATATTTGAAATATGCTGCTTCATTTGATGGGGCTCCATAGGACCATTGGAGATGGTCTTAGGGCAAACAACGCATTGCAGAAGCTGCTCAAAATTTTTCTTTACAAACATGAGACGTAGCCGAGATAACTATGATCGTATTTCTTTTTACGTTAGTCATAATTACCTTTTATTAAAAGTTGATCAGACTGAGGGAGCGGGACAGATATTCGTTCATCAGAGCGTATGTCTACCCAATACCTCAGAGATATTTGAAAATAGAGTGCCCCCCTTAGCAGGTCTGCAACGAAAATCGATCGAATATCATGGCCAACACCGTGATATTTTACCAAATTTTCGATTAATTGAATGGGAATCTTTTTCCGCTTTATGGCTTATATATATGATGATTTTCATTGTGTAGTATATAATAATTGTGTTATTGTGTGTATATTTTTAGAGGGGCATTCTAGTACCCACCAGCAACTCCCAAATTTCCCACTAGTGGGAAATTTTCCGCCGGTTAGGAACCACTGGGCTAGATGCATACACAGATGAGCAAATTAAATCTTGGCAAAGTGAAGATCCGGATATTTCTGCTGTTTTGAAATGGAAACAATTTACAGCTCAGAAACCTGACATTCAAGAATACACGCCTGAATCAACAGCGACCAAACGTTTAATTTCGCAATGGGATTTGATTTTTGTAGATAATGGACTTTGATTGTTCCATCAAATTTGAGGCAGGATTTGTTCCATAAGCTCCATTCTTTGCGCACTGCACTGCTGGTCATCTTGGTGCTAATCAAACTTTCAAGAGTATAAGGCGCAGATTTTATTGGCCCGGTTTCAAAAGGGACATTGTGAAGTCTTGTGCTTCGACAAAGATGCTTTACGGAAGAAGACAGGGAGATTTGAAACAATTTATATCTGGAGCTCCTATGGAGAGGATTGCCATTGATTTTCTAGGTTCATTGTCAGTGACAGAAAATGGAAACGAACACATTTTGGTTGTGTCGAACTATTTTTCTAAATGGATAGAATGTTTTACCAAATCAGCGAGCGGACACCACTGTTAATGCATTGGTTACCCAATTCTTTTCAAGATTCGGGGTACCAAGAATTCTTCTTTCAGATCAGGGAAGAGACTTTGAATCCAAATTATTTTCGGATATGTGCAACTTGTACGGTATTCAAAAGACTAGAACAACTCCATATCATACCCGTCCAAATGGACAAGTTGAACGTTTTAACAGGACTATACAACAAATGTTGAAAGATTTTGTAAATGAGAATCGAAATGATTGGGGTTACCATCTCCCATATCTTTGCATGGCATATCGCTCTACCGTACATGATAGTACAGGATATTTACCGATCAAGTTAATGCTTGGACGAGAAATCGAGATGCCCGTTGATGTTATGTTTGGCAAACCAGAGTCATCAACTCATCCTTGTTACACTGAGTTTGTCGAATGGTTTTTCTGTGCAACTGAAAAAGCTTTTCTTCCTGCTAGGCAACATCTAAATGCTGCTGCAACCAGACAAAAGCGAAATTTTGATCTGGGTGTAAAACCACTTACTTTCCAGAGAGCTGAATTGGTGTGGTACTATTATCCACATAAGCAATGCAAGCCGAGTATTCCTTGGATTGGACCTTATCGAATTGTGGACTGTTTACCTAATCACTTGTATAGGATTCAGAAGAATCCGGGAACACGTTCTCGAGTTGTACATGTTGACAAGCTGAAACCTTGATGAAGACAATGATATTGATTTAACTGGATTTGATATTTTACCGGATGTGGAACCTATGATGAAAAACAATGAGCAGGCTGCTCATGACATATTTGAAGAATTACCTTTTTCTTCAAGGTCAGACACTGTACCAGAAGAGGTTACAGTTGACGCGAACTCTGAAAATGAAAAACGTAGTAGGCGAAGGCCTAGGTATTTGGATGATTACATTTGATTTGACTATGATAATGCTTTTATCAAGCTCTTAACAATTGATTAGATAGATAGATAGATAGATAGATAGATAGATAGATAGATAGATAGATAGATAGATAGAAGTTTATTCATCATCCAGTCATTAGCCAACAAATCAAACACAAACAACAACATTCAATAAGTAAAAGAAGAATAAATCGACTAACAACGGAACTGATAGGAGGTTGGAAGGACCATACGGTCACTAAATCGAAACAACTCTCCTGGCATAAAAAAAAGGTTGACAGATTGCATTTTATATTATACCAATTATAAAAATTTTTAACTTGTTGTAACCAACAATCAAGCAACAAGAGTAATGTGACACATATTGAGACGAATTTGAAATAGAAGCGGCAAGAAAAAGCGTTTAATTTTATATCACACAAAATAAAAACGTACAATTTGAAAAGGTATGAATCAGTACTTATTCAGAAAAGACTGGAAATACTTCTTGGAAAAAACATCAAAACTGGAAATTTCTTTTAGTTTTTCGTTAATATCGTTCCAAAGTCTCACACCCTGGTACTTTATGGAATTTAGGGCCCGCGAGGATGAATATCGTGGTACATTGATTGTTTCGATTATCATAGATAGACATTTCATTTGAGTGTACAGTTTTTTGTGTTCTTTACAGTTTCTTAACAATTTTATGGATTTTTAATTTTGAAGATGGAAAATTCCTTTGTAATTTCCCATCTGAAAAAAGGGGGAGTAATGAGACGACCACGTCTATAACTCTGTTTTATTCTGTATGCCCATTTTTATTCTAACCACTTGAGTCACTAGTGAGCAGCTGAGTATCTTTCCCTTTTGGCTGGTTTGTCAGAATGCCGGCAGTGTGGGATTTTCTATGTGTGTTCGGTTATTATTATAGTGTTTTAATGCCGTAAATCTATGTAATTCTTGTTGTGGACTGTTACTAGTACTACAGATTAACTGTACCCCAGTTTGGCATAGCTCTGTTCACTAGTTATCTTGTATTTAACGTTTCCGTAACTAGTCTACTTTCCTCTGTGATACCGGTATCCGTATTTCTATGTGTATTGCCATGTATATTACGTGTTTGTCGATAAGACAGGATTTTTGTTGTATCTTTAGTGTCATACTAGTTATTCTTATTTATTTCTAGGTATGTTTTGCCTGGTTTTTGTATATTCCATTACAGGTCAATAGTTCATGACTGTGACGTCATACACCAATTCCTATTTGTGTTCCTTATGTATCTGTATGGTATTTTGTACTGTATTTGGTATTGGAGTATTCGGTTGTATTAAGTTCTTACAGGTGTATAATTCATCTAATTAGTTAACTTAGTTACTCTGCTGTAATGGAACCGCAAGAAGATTATTTTGTGATCGACATCTATTGCAACTTCAGTGTCCGAGAAGCTGGCAGAAAGAACCCGAGTGGGGATATCAATTTTGGTACGCCACACATCTTTATACCGTACAAATCTTTCAAATATGATTATGTCAACGCAAATTTATCTCTTGTGGCGTTTAATTCGAAAGAAAATTACTAACTGTGTGGGTGGAAGTACCAAGATTGCTGATTATGGAAATTTGACAATGATGAATTCAGAATCAGTATTCGGTCGATTTCGAAATACATATTGTATATTGTTCACGATTTCATTGCAAAATCGGATATCCAATGCCATACAACAAATGCGCAGTTGATTCTGTTTTTCTTTGCGATATCTCGAAGTAGAATTGCACATCGAACACTGAAAATTTGTCACATAAATGACGTTTAACAATGGAATCGCAGTTTCTAAAATACTTCCACGTGCCCGAACCACGCTGCCTATTTCTTGTAGCAGAGCAATCATGAAACTATCTCGATTCGTAAATAATTTTGAGCGATATCGGGATAAGAACACGCAAAATTGCTTTATAGAAGTGCGACGTAACAAGGTGAAATTGTAAATTTTTACGTCAAACGTCACGCTGCGGTTTAACCGGTTAATTTTCCCGGTGAACGGTTAAAGTGTTTTCTCTGAAATTCCCAGCCCTACCCATTGGATATAGTTTATGTTCATTCAATACGATTGTAATAAACGCTAAATGTGTAATTTATAATTTTATGTACAGGTTTAGAAGTGTAACTAATAAATTATCAAAAATAACTCACAGAAATCAAGGAAAAAAGTATTTGGGAAAAATGGTGTGCGAGGGCTAAATTCAGGCGCAGTACATAATTTAATCACATTCAGGCATATGACACCCAAACAAAATGCTTATAGAAAACGTTTTTAGGAAAAATGGTGCGAGGTAAAAAATCAGGTACAGTATATATTTTTAGTACATTCATGAAACGACAACAAAATGCTTAAAGAAATCTAAGAAATGTATAGGGAAAAATGAGTGCAAGGAAAAAAATTCTGGCATAGTACTTATCTACACTGTTCCCTCTAAGAAAATTTCACACTGCGCAAATGTTGGTTTTACTGAGCAAGACTATTTTAACGCTGAGCAGAATCCTAAATTATTCCAACTTTGTGAAATGTTACAATAGTAGTCTATTATTTATTATCGGAATGCGAAAAAAGCACACATTAAATTTAAGTAGCTTCTTCTTGTTTTCGTGCTTTTCCAACGTTTATACACTTTGTCCAGGTTTGTTGTGTTTTATTGCTAAATCAAGCGACAATCATACAAAGTACAATACCTAATGTACAATCTCAACATTTATGTTGTTGAAATATCATTGCTTCCATCAACAATCAGGGTATGAAATTTTGTTTGTCTTGCGCTTAGTAAAATTTCTTTCCTGGCGACAAATTCTATGCTCTTCAAAAATTCAGAGCTGTAATTTTTGTTTCAACATGAATGTGGCAATTTATTCTATTTTGACACACGACTATTTATCACCTCGCGACAATATTGATGAATTCAGCTTAACACGTGGTAGAACACTATCTATGTGAGGCTTTATTTCAAAACTTCACTCTCTTCAGCGGTTGATATTGCGATGAGAAAGTTCGAACAACCTCCTCTTGCTTTCACGTTTCGCTTCTGAGTTAATGCATCTAGTGCAGTGGTTCCCAACCTTTCTACCCTCGCGGACCGGTTAAATTAAATAAAATGTATTTGCGGACCGGCAAAAAGGTGGAACATAATATAAAACATATACTTGCATAACAACATGAAGTGCTGGGCACCGATTTCGCGTAAAAAATACACCAAGAAAAACCTCACATGAAAAATATGTACATTTCAAATCATGTACAAACACAATTACCTCGAGCGAGAATTTCCTGCTGTTTCGTTGCCAATACAAGATTGCAAACGAGGCATAAAAAATGATTTTGCAACACCTAGCTCTGCAGTGGCCCACAGTCTATTTCTTTGCTTCGTTTTAGTTAAAGCTAACAATGATAAAGTTTTTTTCGTACAAGTAACTGGTTGAATATTTGGACAACGGTTTGATTGTTCGATTACCTAGCGATAAGCATTCGTTATCGAGAGAGCTCAAATATTGTGACAGTGATTCTTTTATAAATCTGGACTGTAAACTAGGAGTTTCATCATATCATTCCTCTGCATTTGATCGATGCCCTAGACAAATAAATTTATATTACAATGATAAAGTAGTTTCTAACTTGGCACCAGGGGGTCAAAATCCTGCTGTGCATCACCTAGAAAAGATCTTAATGTTTTTGTTGCGCGTCTCATGACCACCTGCTGAGCCGCATCAAGTTCATATCTTGCTGGTTCCCAAGGCATACTCTGTAATATTATACAATTCTTGGCTGTTTTCTAGTTTAAACAAAGAAATGTTCATAACCTTATATTTGAATGGTAATATTAATGAAGAAAAGCACACAGAACGGAAAAAGCACGCATGCTGATTTCCAGGTTTATGAATCTTGCGAGATTTGACGGAGCGATTTTGCGATGAATCGGAAACGAAAAGTGTGATCACACGGCGCAAAGACGTTGCCAGGCGATTAATACCGCCCTCACCAAACAGTGATATGACGGCGGAAGAGAAATGCGTAATAAACCAACGTAAATCCGTCTTTTTGGATTCGATAAAGCGATCGAAACGGCAGAAAATCAACAAAACGAAATTTCCCACTGAACGGCAAAATAGCTTCGTGGACCGGCACCGGCGGTTGGGAACCACTGATCTAGTGCGTCAATATGCTTTTTCTGATTTGAATGGCGTCTTAGATAGTCAACTTCCCATCCAAGATTTGCCTTTTCCAAATCACTATTAGGTGCCACTTCCCGACAAATTTTGCAGATTATCAGATTCCTTAACGCGGAACAGCGATAAATTTGCGTCACCGGCATACAGAAATCAATGTACTTGCGCGTGACATACACGTGTGTGACTTCACAATGACCAGTGACCACCAAAATACGCGTGAAACATAGAACGAGCATTCTAATTAAGCGTTAATAAATATGACATATAAAATATGAGCCACGCTTTGATAAAGAAATGTTGCAACTGCGCGAGAATGAGATTTTAGTGCGCAAATGTTCTGGTGACACTGCGCAATCGCGCAGCTTAGAGGGAACCTTGCTTATCTATATTAAATTCATTAAACGCGGACAAAATACTTACACAAAATTATAAAAAATGACAAACAATATCGGGGAAAGAATGGGATGTAATGTATAGTTTTTAGGTTATGAGCTATAAGCAACGTTGAAAAGATTCGTGGTATATTTATTTTTGGTCCTCAGGCGCAAGGACAGCAGAAATCGGACTTCTCAGTTACACGATATAGGACCTTGCTCATTGATCGG